CTGCTTCCTGCACATCCCCCACTGGGGATAAAGCCTGCAACCTGGGCATGTGCCCTTGGCTGGAATCGAACCTGGGACCCTGTAAGTCCGCAGGCTGATGCTCTATCCACTGAGCCTAACCAGCTAGGGCAGTTAGGTGTTTCTTTTGGTGTCAAAAAATATTCCTGCGACAATAGGGCCCATGCTTCCCGCCTTTCCTCTAACTCCTGTGCTGGGCTTGCCGTTCACCCTGCTGCAGACATGGTGGGCGTGCAGGCATCTGCGTGGTGAACTCACTGCGAGGACCTGCGTGGCAGGAGAGCATGCCACACCCAGCTGATCCATCTCTGAGACCCCTGGGTTTGCATTCTGCTGTGTGACCCACCCACAGATTTCTTAGTTGCAGCAACAGAAAGTGGCTGAGATAAACACTTTGTGTTGAAAGGCTGTTGGGGAGCTTACAGAATGACCAGGAAGTTAGGATCACAAAGCTGACCTAACAGCACCGCCTGCTCTGGGCCCTGCCTGCCACTGGCACTATCCCCTTGCAGTTTCCAAAACCCAGAAGTGGCTGCCACCACCAGGGTGGAGCGTCTGCTGTCTTTGGGCATAATTCAAAACCCCAGAGGGTGTTGTTGGCTAAGTCTTGGCCTCCTGCCAAGTAAAGCTGACTGCAAGCAAAGCTGGAAAACCAGCTTTGTGGTTCTACCCCCAGGCGCACGAGGTAGGGAAGAAATTCAGATACTTAGTTGAGAGAGGGGAAGAGCTATCAATCAAATGTTTATTCATTTACAGGATTTTAAGCCTGACTTTGGCAATTCTCATGGCAAAACAAGTGAATCTGGTGTGGAGGTATAGCCACCATTTTTCAAAGCCCAGGTGATGAAGTATGGAAAGTGAGCAAAAGCAAGAAGGGATTAATAGTGGAACATATGTCCCAACAAAAATTAATGTTTACATTTAAGGAGGAAAATAACCTGTCGAAGTTACCAGATAAAAAATTACAAGTCAAAACCACAATGAGGTACCACCTCAGACCTGTTGGAGTGGCCATGATCAATAAGAAAATAACAAGTTGGAGAGGTTAAAAAAAAATTCACTGCTGGTGGGAATGCAGACTGGTACAACCACTATGGAAAGCAGTTTGGCGATTCCTCAAAAAATTAAGAATAGAGCTACCATATGACCCATCAATCCCTCTCCTGGGTATATACCTGAAAAACTTGAAATGGTGTATTCACAAAGATATATGCACCCCTATGTTCATGCAGCATTACTCACAGTGTCCAAGACGTGGAAACAACCAAAGTGTCCTGCGATAGAGGACTGGATAAAGAAGATGTGGTACATACACATGGGATATTACTCAGCCATAAGAAAGGATGAAATAGTACCATTTACAGCAGCATGGCTGGCTGGATCTTATGCTAAGTGAAATAAGTCAGGCAGAAAAAGCTAAGAACCATGTGATTTCACTCATATGTGGGATATAAAATTGACTCATGAACACAAACAGCAGTGTGGGGGTTGCCAGAGGGAAGGGTGGGGAGTGGGAGAAAGGGGATTCTAATGTCAGGTGATGGGAGGTTTGACTCAGGGTAGCGGGCACACGGTGCAACATACAGGTCTTGTAACATAGAAACCCACACCTGAAACATATATGTTCATATTGACTGTCACTCCAGTCAATTTAATTAAAAATTAAATGCTCTCCCTTCACCCCAGTATAAGAAGGTCATTTGCATGGGTGCAAAAATAGAATGGCTTGCCACTGGAGTATCAAAAGAAGTTAAATATGATAGAACCAAATGACTGCAAAGGAAGGGCCTCAGAAGTTGGAGGTATCAAAAAGGGGGAAACAAAAACTAATTAGAACACAGATGATACCTATGGGTATTTTCTCTATGTGCTCATTTAACATAATTTTTAACGTTGAGAACAGGGATATGGGATATCTCTACGTTTAATTTTTTTTCATCAGTGCTCTGAAGGGACATCTCACTTGAGTGATTCCTTATTTTCAGACTACAAAATGAAACAGGGCTAGAAGTTAGGCAATTTCAAAGGGGACAAGACACTGGAATGCATGATAAGTGGATATGGGTTCTTCTGTGACACTTTCCTGTGAAGTTATTTTCTTGAGTTGATCTGAAGTGTATTCTTGCTTTGTGACAAAGGATAGATTTACAACTTAATGCTAGTGCCAGTGAATTGCTCTGCTCTGGAATTTTTCTTATCTGCTAATAAGAGCAAGCAAACTGTAGAGACAGCTGATAATATAATTTTTTAAATTAAAAAATGTATTACTGAGACAATAAGGGCATCATGAACTGAGCAAGTTGGAAACCTCTGGTCCAAATTATAAAAACCCACACAGCTGCCGAAACCGGTTTGGCTCAGTGGTGGAGCGTCGGTCTGCGGACTGAAGGGTCCCAGGTTCGATTCCGGGCAAGGGCATGTACATTGGTTGCGGGCACAACCCTGGTGGGGTGTGTGCAGGAGGCAGTGGGTTGATGTTTCTCTCTCATCGATGTTTCTGGCTCTCTATCTCTCTCCCTTTCTCTCTGTAAAAAATCAATTAAAAAAAAAAAATATATATATATATATATAAACACCCACACAGCTGTTGGGAGGTTACTGAGGGGATGAGGACACATATGCAATACCTTTATCAATAAAAAAATTAAAACAAAAAATCCCTACACTTCTTGGCCTGGCATTCAAGGTTCAAAACTTCTGGTAACACCACGTACCTTTTACCCTCATTATCTTCTGGCTCAAAGTTTTCTCCAATGCTTGTTTGTTGTTTGACCTTGGGTGAATCAATTTAACTTCTCTAAGCTATCTCCCCAGCTGTAAAATGGAGTAACAGTGCTTACCTTATATGCTTATAATGAGGATTACATGAGAATATATGTGAGGAACTTACATTTGCATATTACAAATGTTCAATTAAATGTCAGACATAATCCCTTCTCATGTTAAACCCTCTGAATAGCCCAGTGTTCTAAGTTCCCCAAGACTCATCTGTATATCCTCCCCAAACTCTCCCCCACACCCCCAAGTTCTTTCAATCTTTTATGATTTTTTCCCTGGAGTTTCCAATGATCCTGCCACTCTTGCCAATTCTCCGTGTGTTCACCAACTTGGAAGGTCCTCAACTTTTTTGCCAGCCTCTCCAAATGCCAGTCTACCTCCTCCATGAGCCTAGCCCACAGTTAACTACTATAGAACACAACTGTATCACACCACCTGTTGTTGATGAAGTATTGCCTTTTGTTATTTAACTTGTTTATGACCTGCACATTTTTTGTTTCACCAAGTAAGACTGTAAGCTTCGAGGCTTAGAATGTCATGCTACATTCAAGTTTCCTATAGCATCTAGCAAATCGGAGGGTGCAGATCACTATTTGCTGGGTCTATGTATGAATCTGTTCAGGCTCCAGATCAGATTAAGTCACATGTACAAGGGACAGATGGAACAGCACAGGTCAGAGGGAATGAAGGCAAAAGTGCACACCACTGGCTGGTGGGGCGAAGCAGGACCATGAAGGGAAAGCCCCAGTGAAAGCAGGCCACGAGAGCAGGGTCTCGACACTGGGGAAGGTGAGCAATGGGAGACATTAAGATCATTACATTCCCGGGCGTTAACTAGGGAAGCATGACAAGGTGAGGATCCCACAACCGAGTTTCCCACCCTCTCCTTCCAAAAAGGAAGTAAAACTTTTTAGGGAGCCTGAAATAGCAATTACAAATTCATTTGCTTTAAATTATCTTTTAAACTATAAATGTCTTGAAAATGGGTAGAAGACAATGTTCAGCCACCCAATGTTCAGTGAGAATTATTTAACTGGATTTCCCCCCTCAAAAATATCTGGGACATAGCCAACTGCATGAACGTTTGTGTGTGAAGGCAAAAACAGGTAACCCTGTAAGTTAGGGGTGGGGCATGAATGGGTGGCTCTGGGCAACCTCAGCAATGCTGCCTGGCGGATGGGTTTGGCGGAAAAGTTGCAGGAAAGAAAGGGAGTGGCCGACGACTGCCTTGTCTGTGAAATGCAATATGGCTGTGCCTTCGGTGAACCATGGGGCGGCCTGCCACGGACTTCGGCTGATGAAGGATCCATGATGCCAGGCCCAGGACTGGCTGTGCAAAGCAAACAGCAGGAACATAATCACGCTCAGGAGTACAGGGAGAACAGGCAGCCAGTGACACAAATCTGGTGGGTGGAGTCTGGCCCACGGCCGCAAACAGGGATCGCCCTCAGAAGGCCTCGGGTAGGCACGGAGCTCTTAATGAGTGGAGGGAAAAGATTCTGGATTAAATTAGAGGTGTGAACTTGCCTACATTAGGTCAACAGGCAGTGAATATAGTTAAGTTAAAAGGCTATTTTCACTTCACATTGCAATCCAAAGTTACAGAAATATTTATTTTAAAATTAGCACTTTATATATATATATATATACATATTAAAAACACAGAAGTGATTTAGATGAAAAGCTCCAAAGTGTATTATTTCAGCTGGTGTCACTGCTATCTATACCTTCACCCCATTTATTAAGCCGTTTCAAGTGACAGAGTTCCCAGGTGTCCAAACCGGAAGGGCCTGCGTGGCGCTTCGGTGGCGTTTCCTGGGGAGCGCCGTGCCCCACGGTACGATTCAGGTTTCTCCCCGCACATCTGACTGTGACCTTTCGGATCCTCTGGCTGTGGCTGGTTAGTCTCCGGTTTCTAACAGGGGGTTGCTTTGCTGCCGAGGAGTTGATCCAAGCTTCCAAGTGCCCTTCTTGTGGACCTCAATTATGTTCACGTGAGGTTCAGAGAGCTGGACAATCTGATGAGTGGGAACACTGTCTTAACAGGAGGAACTGCCATTCCAGCATCAACTATCCTTAATCCTACTGCACAAACTGGTTTCATTCTTGGAACGGTGAAGATCACGGCCAAGAAGCAGATGTCCTTAGCGGCTTCCTCCGAGAGTTAATCCCCAAGAGAGAGCCATCTGGCCACTTGCTTTTTCTCACATTTCTAATAGCTGCTCCATTTCCTCAAGGGCTGCTGTAAAGTCACTTACTTGGCTGTTACATAAGGCCTGCTGCTCTAGGAACCGGGCCCTCTCTTCTTCTTTCATCTTCAACTTTACTTTTAAGGCCTGGTTGGAAAGATATTAGAAAAGACGAAAACAAACAAAAACTTTGAAACATCATGCTTCTGTTCTGTCTCATTAAGAAAGAATTCTCTGTATTTGTAGGGGAACTGAATTCTCTTTACCAATATTCTGTAAATATAAAATTATTACAAAAGTTTATTAAAAATAAATAAGAGAGAGCCCTCCACCCTAGCTGGTTGGCTCAGTGGCTAGAGTGTTGGCCTGTGGACTGAAGGGTCCCGGGTTTGATTCTGGTCAAGGGCACATGCCTTGGTTGCAAGCTCCTGGCCCTGGTTGGGGGCATATGGGAGGCAACCAATTAATGTGTGTCTCTCACATCCGTGTTTCTCTCTCTCTCTTCCACTCTTTCTAAAAATCAATGGGAAAATATCCTTGGGTGAGGATTAGAGAGAGAGCCCTCTATATACCCATCTACTGTAGCAGGAATGGTAATTTTGCCTCAGGGTGATGTCTGCCTCTCACCTGTAACTCCTCCATCTGCTTTCTTGCTGTTTCGTTAAAAAGCTTCAATTCATCTTGCAAAGTTTCTAACAGCAGCTAAGAGGAAAGTACAATTAGTAAAATAAAGTACAAACCTTCATTTTCTTCATATAAACTAATCTCTTTGGCTGAAACCGGTTTGGCTCAGTGGTAGAGCGTCGGTCTGCGGACTGAAAGGTCCCAGGTTCGATTCCGGGTAAGGGCATGTACATTGGTTGCGGGCACATCCCCGGTAGAGGGTGTGCAAGAGGCAGCTGGTCGATGTTTCTCTCTCATCGACGTTTCTAGCTCTCTATCTCTCTCCCTTCCTCTCTCTAAAAAATCAATAAAATATATTTAAAACAAACGAACAAAAAAACCCTAATTTCTTTGTATAAAAGGGGAATTAGATGACTGTTAACGTCATTCAGCCATTGGCTGTGTCCGCACACATCTGGGACCTCCACCGGACACCCTGGGGGAGTTCAGTCCCAGGAGGGATGAAGGACTATCCCACTTCCATGGGTTCTGCCACACAAGCAACATAACACACGTGCCCCCTGAGGGGTGACAGTGACCGGGGAGAACTGAGGATGGTTCCACACCTAGCGCTCTATGACTCACAGAAGCTCAAGAGACTTTAATCCCAAACAATTACCTTCCCACCTCAGGGAAGGAGCCAAAGAGAAGCCAAATTTCACTCAGGCAGAACCTTTTCATTATCTAGTTCTCAGCAAAGGATTAAGGAGAGAAATTGGTCTTGTATAAAAGAGAGAAACCAGAAAGCTCTACTTGTCTGTCATGTTAGGTGTTTTAAAGTAGTACATTGTCAACTCAGACTCACTCATATTTGTAAGCACAGGTCACCTGCCAAGTAAAATAAGCTTTTTTTTTCCTTTTTAAAAAAAATAAGCTTTTTTGAGTACATATCCGCCACTCTCCTCTTCCACATCCTGGGTCTCACAGGGGGTTACTGAGCACATGGCAGGATCTCCTGAGCTGCAGAGCCCCGGGCCCTCGGCCCGCAGTCCCCGGCCTTCGCCCGCGCACACCCAGGCCCTCACCGTTGAGTCCATGTGATCCGGGTTGGATTCCTGCTGTGATTCCAGGGTCTCACTGTCTGAATGTAATGGAGACAACAAAATTAGCCTCGCTTAGGGAACTGTACCTCCCACAAAATAAACCAAAAAAACCATCCAGGACAAGCACACAAGTTTTCATGAGGGAAACTTCTCTCGGCAGCTGCTCCTGGCGCCCCGTTTTCACCGGCAGTGTGGCCCACGCCAGCCTCGGCTACATTTAGCTCCTTCCTCTCTATGTTTGGAGACGGCCAAAAATTCATTCTGCTCCTCCTCAGAGAATTTTTCCAAAGGCAATGTATAGTTTTGTTTACAAAACACAGAACAATTTTTTAAAGTTTTTTTTAGGCCTTACATATTATTATTTTTGATAAAAGTAGTGCATACACATAATAAAGTAATATAAAAACATATGAAGAATGTATCCTAAACTGCACAGTTAGCCAGTAGCATTCAGTCAGCATTCCATAATTCAAAGAAGCCTGGGGCCCTTCTTGGGATGTTCAGGCCCTCAGTTCCGTCTGAGACCCGCTCCCAGTCTCTGGGCAAGTCTTTCTCTGCTCTAGACTGACCTCCAGGGAGAGGGTCGGAGCAGGAGTCCCCTTTAACCACTGGGAGTCTGCCGATTAGCCAGAAACAGTATATCATTTCTCTCTCCTCCCACTTGAGAAAGTTAACTGTATGGTACCTATCTTGAAAGAAATAAAATAACTGGTATAATTTGCAAGGTTAGGGCATCTTTGGGCACCAAAGTGTTCAGATAAGAAAGCGATAATCCTCTTTCCACAATCACCTGGAATCGGTCAGACACGTCAGCCTCACCAGAGGGAAAAAAGGTGCTCCAAACCTCTGCACGCGAGGCCAGCTGCTGCCACGCTGGACCCTAACCACAGCCCAGAACCACCGCAGCGGGGGCACGCACACTGGCTCCTGTGAAGGCTGCTGTGTGCTGTTTCTTACTTGGGTTGAGGCCCTTGCTCTCCAAAATCGCCAAACTGTTGTCCTGGAACTTCTGCAGCAGCTCCACCTTTTCGGTCAGGTCCTGCAGTTTGCCCTATGGGGTGCCATGCAGACAGATCAGGCCTGTGCCACTCCGCAGGGGTGGCCTGAGGGGCTGCCCTCGGGGTTCCACATCATCACCCAGTGTGGCTGATGGCACAGGTCTGCTGGTGGGTCCTTACCTGAGTTTCAGTCAACTTCTGCTGTAACTGCTTGTTGACGGCCTCTAAGATCTGGTTCTTCTCCTTGAGCTCTTCCTCTGACTTCTGCTTACCCAACGGCCTGTAGCTGTAATGATAGGTGTACTCATATGAAGTGCCGGGGGGTAGGGGCGGGAATGGGCAAGGGGGTAAAGATTATGGACTGAGTAGTCCCACAAACAAGCATTCGAATCCTGGCTTCATCACATAGTGGTATATGACCTTCAGTGAGTTGCATAACCTCTGAGGTCCAGTTTCCTTATTTCCAGAATTAGGATACCTACCTCTCATAATGTTATTATTGTGAAGAATAAGAATACATGTACCATTCTTAGCACACTTAGGATACCTACCTCTCATAATGTTATTATTGTGAAGAATAAGAATACATGTACCATTCTTAGCACACTACTGACACACAGTAAACATTTAATAAATAACAGACATTATCACCATTAACATTAAATGTTCTTTTAAAACTTCTCAAGAGTTCTTTTTGGATAGTTTTGTTTTCAGAACTTTTATTTTTTTATTTTATTTTTTAAAAATATATTTTATTGACTTTACACAGAGGAATTGAGAGGGATAGAGAGTTAGAAACGTCGATGAGAAAGAAACATCGACCAGCTGCCTCTTGCACATTCCCCATTGGGGATGTGCCCGCAACCAAGGTACATGCCCTTGACCGGAATCGAACCCGGACCGCAGGCCAACGCTCTATCCACTGAGCCAAACCGGTTTCGGCTGTTTTCAGAACTTTTAAAACATGCCCAGATTTGGAAGTAGAACCTATTTCTACAGAACTTTTAGCTTACATTATTTCTGTCTTCAGGACTGCAAAATGTCCAAGCTAGCCTCCATGAGGAGAGGTCCTTCTGGATTTCTCCTTCACCAGCACCAGCAGCACCAGAAATGCCATCGTGAAATTGCTAGCTACACGCTGCCCTCCGATCTTGAAGGCTTCACACTTCTGTTGAGAGGTCACAGCTGGGTTTGACTTCTGGTCAGCAGTGGTCCTGGCACGGAGCCCCAAAAGCTCTTGCCTGGCACTCAAGATGGTAGCTTCACTAATGGTGCCCTGATAGTGTTTTTCAAACTAGCTGTGCCTCACCCCTGAAAATTCCATTCAGATTTTGGGCGGCACCCAGACTGTAACACATTAAACAAGTCCCAACAAACCCTGCACAACCAGGACTGAGATCCACTGATACGGTGCCCAACCTTCATTTACCCTGATGCTTACCTCTTTTTGATGTTCTTCTTGATGGCAGTATCTGCAGCTTTCCCCTGTCTAGCGGAGCAAAGACAAAGGAATCAAAATGTAACTTGACTTACCGTGGCAAACATTTTGCAATATGTACACTTAGCACATCATTATGCTGTATACTTGAAACTATAATGTAGTCAATGCCTTAATTAAAAACCAATAACAAAGGAATCAAGCCGAGAATTGTAACATGTTGTTATATGTGTTATGAACAAAGCACAACAGAGGAAAGAACCAGAGATTTTAAACAATGCAAATAACACAAGACTGAGAAACTCTGAAGCCCATGCACTCTGTTTCAGCCCAGATTATTGAAAAAGGCTTATTAATAATGAACCCCCTCCTGCTCAAAAATGAATGGCCTTCTCATGTCAACCTCACTTCCATGAGGACTGAGCACTGAGGGGAGGGACACACACGTGCACTGGCCTGGACTGTGCTCAGACCTGCAACACAGGATAACAGCCAGCCCACCCACCGTGACTACCGTTTGGGCTGGGGGATGACCACAGTAGGGCCACTGTGCACTCCGAGCAGTGGTGAGAAGGGAAAGGGCGTCTCTCGGCATAACCCTTGCTGTGACTCTTCAGACCTGACCGATGGGGAAGGTCCTGACAAGCAGCTCAGCGATGGGGCACTGCTCCAGGTCCCTGACTCCAGGCTTGTGCTTGCAAACCCCCTCTCTCTAATTCTTGGCACTGAGCAATTTCTAACCGGATACCAATGATCTGACCCACCCGTTCTCTCGTCTCGGTTTGATGACTTTCGTTACATCATTTTCTGAAACTCCTGAATGAAGAGATCTGTAAACATCGATTTCTTTACACTTCACAGGTAACAAGCTCTTAGAAGTGGCTCGAGTTTGTGTGTCTGCAAAGGAAAACAGGAGGGTGAAAACTCAAGCAGAGTTCCATTCGAAGTTGTATTTCATTCTGGCCGATCTCAATTTGTGAATGAACCAGCGACCTTTCGGTGCATGGATTGACACTCAACCACTGAGCCACATGGGCTTCCATTGATCTTTAGAGAGAGCAGAAGGGAAGGAGAATGGGGGAGGAGGAAGGGAGACAGAGAAACATCTATGTGAGACAGACACATCAACTGGCTGCCTCCCACATGCCCTGACGGGGGGCTGGGATTGAACCTGCAACCAAGGCACATGCTCTTGAATAAAGTCTATGTCACTTTGGCCAAAGGGCCAACACTCTAACCACTTAGCAAAACTAGCCAGGGCTAAAACAAATTCTTTAAATGTAACAGTGCAGTGTGTTTAAGGATAGCCAAAAGCTTCATGACCTATCAAATGGAATGGCCAGGCGGTATAAAGTGAAGGTTGACACAAGCAAAGAGCTAAATAAAAGGCAGTGTAGCAGTCAGCAGGGCAAAACACCGCAGACTCCTTCATCAAACACCAGCAGAATCCAGTCATCTTGTTAAGCGCCTAGGCACTCGGCACACTCTCCGGAGGATACTCTCAAACCGCTTTGAGTTTCTCTTTTAAATATCGCTTCAGTTGTTTTCACCAGACTGTCTCCCTAACTACTCAAAGATATGTCTGTGTCCCAGCGCTTAGGAGAGTATCTGGCATACCAACAGGTTCAGTGCCTGCTTGTTGAGTAAGTGGTATACTTCCCAGTTCCGTGGATTGTTCACAGATCATCTCCAAATAATCTCTAGTCTTCTTTCCTTTTCCATGGTGATTTCCTTTACCGCCAGCCCTTTTAATTTGTTTGCCCATCATTAAGCTCAGAGGCTCCCTGCCTGGCATTGTTCTGATCCTTTTGCCAGGCTATTGTCAGATAAGCAGAGAAATGGCCCTGCCGTGCCTCTTCTTCCCCACAAGAGAGTATTTTCCCCCTAACCCTTATGCTACCCTATCTTCCACCACACTTTTTACCATTTATATTCCATACCAAACTCAAGTAATAACATCTCCTGGTGTTAAGCATACTCCCTTCCTGCCCCCACGATTTTCTAGTTTATACTAATTTTTACTTTGTTCGTTGTAAAATGGCCTCTTTAAGCTTAACCTAGATAAAAAGCCATAATAATGAAATCAAGTTGAAAAAAATGAGGTACAAAGAACTGGATCACAGGGATTAGGAAATTTTGTATTCATATTTGAAAAAGATTTTACTTTGATAACTCTAACTGCATAAGTTTGTAATAAATATGATTTCTCAGGTTAACAAATTATTACATTTATAGGTATACTCACTGGCAATTACACTCTATTTTCCATACTTTTATCCACAAAACAAAGATTAAATGGGTTCTTCATGAGGTCTCTGTCTGAAATAAAAGGTTACTGTGGGGGAATGTATTTGCCTTCTCCTCTCTCAAGTATTTGTAAGTTATTCATAATAACAAATCCGCCCCACGTAAAAAGGTGTTAAACCATAAATTCATTGACTGTAATTAGTTCCAAAAACTCCTATTTACTAGAACCCAAGGATTTCATTGTAGGAAGAATCTAGCAGGATTTAACAAAGACTGTCTTCTTCAAGGGAGAGATGCTAGGGGAAACTGAATGCTGGTGTTCAAAAAAGGAAAGGGTCTTGTCTTCCACTGCAAATCCTTTCCTAACTTTGGATTTTTTTTTATTTGTATATGGTACCCAGTCATAAAACTAAAACTTGGAGTTAGGTAAAACTCTGGAATGATGTAAGCATCATGGCAGAGTGAGAAGACTCCTTTGCTTCTCCCCATTCGATTATCATTAGATTAAAAAAAAAAAAAAAAAAAAAGAGGGAATAAAGGAGGAGAAAAATCATAGAAAACCACCAAATTAAAATATGAGAGAGAATCACAAGGGAAAAAAAACAGTGGAGACACAGAGTAACCAGAAAATAAAATATAAAATGGCTGTTGCTATGTTTTCATATGTTGATGACCACCCTAACTGTAAATGGACTAAACTCACCAATCAAAAGGCATAGAGTATCAAGATGGATTACAAACGAACAAACTATATGTTGCCTGCAGGAGACTCGGCTCCAAAGATAAACATAGGCTTAAAGAGGAGAAGATGACACGCCAAGCAAATGGCATTCAGAGAAAAAAGCAGGTGTAGCAGCACCTATGTGAGACAAAATAGATTTCAAAATGAAAAGGTAAAGAGATACAAAATGGACATTTTATAATGATAAAAGGGATAATTCATCAAGAAGACATAACACTTATCAATATATTATATATGTACCAAACTGGGAATGCGAAAACACATAAAGCAATTACTAACAGACTTAAAGAAAGAAACCGACAAAATTGCATTATAATAGGTGACCCAAACACCCCTGGATGATGATGCAAAGGATAGATCATCCAGATAGAAAGTCAATAAGGAAATACTGCTTTAATTGACACATTAGATTAAATGGACTTAATTGATATTTACAGAACTTTCCATCTCCAAATACTAAAATACACATTCTCAAGTGCACATGGGAATTCTCAAGATAGACTATATGTTAGCACACAAAACTAGTCTAAATAAATTTAAGACGGAAATCATACCAAGCATATTTTCTGACCACATGGTATGAAACTGGAAATTAACTACAGGAAGAAAGCTGGAAAAATCATAAATATGTGGAGATTAAACAGTAGTACTGAATTACTACTGGGTCAAAGAAAAAATAAGAGACCAAAAAATATATAGAGACAAATGAAAATGAAGTAACAAAATTTTAGGGGTGCAGCAAAAGCACAAAGAGGGATGTTTATACCATTACAGGCCTACCTCTAGAAATAAGAAAAACCCCAAATAAACAATCTTTTTTTTTTTTTTAATTGGTTAAGGTATTTTTTTTTTTTAAATTGGTTAAGGCATTATATGTGTCCTTATTCCTCCCATTACCCCCCAACCCCACTTCTGTTCATGCCTCTGCCCCGCCCCCCCTCGTGTCTATGTCCATTGGTTATAATCTAACATTATACCTTAAAGAACTAGAACAAGAACAAACGAGGCACAAAGTCAGTAGAAGGAAGTAGTAAAAATAAAGCAATAAATGAAATAGAGAAAAGACAATAGAAAACAATTAATAAAACAAAGAACTGGTTCTTTGAAATGATAATCCCCTGGCTAAAGGAGAAAAGAGAGAAGACTCAAATCAAATCAGAAATGAAAGAGGAAGTTATAATGAACACTGCAGAAATACAACGGATTGTACTAGAATACTTTGAAAGGACACACACCAAACTCAATAACCTAGGGAAAATGTGCAAATTCTTAGTCAACCTGCATAGACTGAATTATGAAGTGTAAGATGCATATAGATGGATCCCTAGTGAGGAAATTGAAACAGTAATAACCTCTTAAAAAAATAAAAAGTCCAGGACCCGAAGGCTTCACTGGTGAATTCTGTCAAGTATTCAAAGAAAATTTAATACTAATCCTTCTCAAAGTCTTCCAAAAAATTGAAGAGAGAAAACTTCCTAATTCATTGAGGCCAACATTAATTACCCTGATACCAAAACCAGGCAAGAACTCCGCCCCCCCCCTCACTCTCACACACACACACACACACACACACACACACACACACACACACACAAATCACACACCCCACACATCCTACAGGCCAGTATCTCTGATAAACACAGATGCAAACCCTAGACAAAATATTAGCAAATTGAATACAGCAATATATTAAAAGAATCATAAGTCATGATCAAGTAAGGTTCATTCCAGGGATGCAAAGATGGTTCAACATCCATAATCCAATCAATCTACACTAATAAAAGTGAAAGATTTAAATTGACCAAACCTCTGCGAAGCCCACAAACCAATCAGGAGTATGCAAACCAACCCAACAAAATGGTGGGCTAATTTGCATATGCAGGCATGGAGTGAAGACTGAAGGCTCCTCTGCGACCGGAGCGAGGCCTGTGGCCAGAGCCAAGCCTGAAGGCTGAAAGCTTGGCTCCACTTGGCTTGGCTCCACTGTGGCCAGAGCCAAGCCCGAAGGCTGAAGGCTTGGCTGCGCTGTGGCCCAGGTTCCGGGTGCCGGCAGCCAGGGGAAGGAAGGCCTATTGCAAATCTTTTTGCAATGGGCCTCTAGTACTATAATAATAAAAGCCCAGTGACCGAAACAGTGAAACGGCCCTGCCCATCAGCGAGCTGTTAGGGGTAATCAGGCAGGTAGGCGAGTGGTTAGTGGCAACCAGGCAGGCAGACAGGCAAGCAGTTAGGGGTGACCAGGCATGCAGGTAGAGTGGTTAGGGGCAATCAGGCAGGCAGGTGAGTGGTTAGGGGCAATTAGGTGAGTGGTTAGGGGCAATCAGACAGGCAGGTAGAGTGGTTAGGGGCAATCAGGCAGGCAGGTAAAGTGGTTAGGGGTGATTAGGCAGGCAAGGCCAGTGGTTGGGGCGATCAGGCAGGCAGGCAGGTGAGCAGTTAGGAGCCAGCGGTCCTGAATTGCTAGAGGGATGTCTGACTGCCAGCTTAGGACTGACTTGCAGGGATTCCTGTGGGATCAGGCCTAAACTGGCAGTTGCACATCCCCTGAAAGGTCCCAAATTGCAAGAGGGTGCAGGCCTGGCTGAGGGACCCCCTTCCTGCACCCCCTTCACAAATTTCGTGCACTGGGCTTCTAGTGTGATATAGATACAGAAAAAGCATTTGACAAGTTATAGCATCCATTTATAGATCGTATAGAAGGAAATAATGGGTATAGAAGGAAAGTATCTCAACATTATAAAGTCCATTATGACAAATCCTCAGGTAACATCACAATGGTGAGAAACTGAAAACTTTCCCTCTAAGATCAGGAACAAGATAAGGATCCCAATTTTCAACAAAGGAGCCAAAGAGATATAAAGGAGAAAGGAAAGTCTCTTCAATACATTTGGGAAAACTGGAAAGCCACTTGCAAAAGAATGAAACTTAGACTGTTTGACACCACACACAAAAACTAACTTAAAGTGGAGTAAAGAATTGAATATAGACCTGAAACAATGAAATACACAGAAAGAAACATACGCACTACACTTAAGGATCTTGGTCAACGAGGGTTTTTGGTGAACTTGACCCCAAATGCAAGGGAAGTAAAAACAAAAATAAATGACTGGGACTGTATCATATTAAAAAGCTTCTGCACAGCAAAAGAAACCATAATAAAACAAAAAGGCATCCGACAGTCGAAACCGGTTTGGCTCAGTGGTAGAGCATCAGTCTGCGGACTGAAAGGTCCCAGGTTCGATTCCGGTCAGGGGCATGTATATTGGTTGCGGGCACATCCCCAGTAGGGGATGTGCAAGAGGCAGCTGGTCGATGTTTCTTTCTCATTGATGTTTCTAGCTCTCTATCTCTCTCCCTTCCTCTCTGTAAAAAATCAATAAAATATATATATATATTTTTTTAAAAAGGCATCCGACAGAATGGGAGAAGATATCTGCAAACAATACGTCTGCTAAGGGGTTAATATCTGAAATATATAAAAAACTCATACAAATAACAACAAAAATAATCCTTTTTAAAAATGGGCAGAAGACCCGAATAAGCACTTTTATAAGGAAGTCACATTATGACCACCAGAAAAATGAAAATATGCTCACTATCACAAGCTATAAATGTAAAGCAAACCCTAATGAGATACCTCCTCATACCTGTTAGAATGGCTATGATCAATAAGACAAGAAATCAGTGTTGGAGAGGCTATGGAGAAAAGGGAACCCTCGTATACTTCCGGTGGGAATGTAAATTGGTGCAGCCACCATGAAAAACTGTATGGAGGCTCCTCAAAAATTAACAGAGCTACTATATGAGCCAGCAATACCTCTCCTGGGAATATATACCTTAAAAACGTGAAAACACTTTTTTGTAAAGACATAGGGAGCACTCACTGCGTTCACTGTAGCACTGTTCACAACAGTCAAGACATGGAAACTACCAAGACACGTGTCCTTCGGCCGATGATTGGAAAAACACGATATGTATGTATATACAGTGGAATACTATTCAGCCGTTAAAAAGATGAACTATTGCTATTTGTGACAATAGGGATGGATTTTGAGAGTATTATGCTAATTAATAAGTCAAACAGAAAAAAAGCAACCATATGATTTCACTTGTATGTGGGATATAAACAAAAAGCAACAAACAAAACAAACAAAAACCCAAACTCATTGATGCAGACAACAGAACGGTGGTTACTAGAGTGGAAGGGGATCAAATATATTGTGACAGAAGGGGACTAGCGCCTTGTCTGAGTAGCTCAATTGGTTAGTGTTGTCCTGATACACCAGGTTTAATCCCTGGTCAGGGCACATACAAGAATCAACTCATGAATGCATAAATAAGTGGAACAACAAATTGATGTTTCTTTCTCTTTCTCTCCCTCCCCCCCTTCTAAAAAAGGTAATCAATAAAAAATAAATAGTTATTTAAAAAAATAGACTTTGGGTTCTGAGCACATAATAAATATACAGATGCTGTATTAGAAAGTTGTATACCTGAAATTTATATAATGTTCTTAACCAGTTACCCCACTAAATGTAATAAGAAACAAACAAAAAAACACCTAAAACGTAAAAACAACCACCTTATGCCCAAAACAAAACCAAAAAGCCTGGAATACGTCTAAAAATGTTAAATGATTGAGGCTGCATAAGATCATAAAGCTGGGACAGGGATAAAAAGTAAAGAGATGGAATTTTTCAACTTGACTGGGGAGAGCCAGTCACGCCCCACTGACCGAGAGGCACTGCACTCTGAGGGAAAAGCAGCGTAGCCAGATGTGGCTCTGGTTGCCCCCGTCCCGCCTGGCCCTATTAATGCCAGGATTACCAGCCAGGTGTTCTGAGACAACAAAAGACAGAACAGAACAACCCTTTAAGCCCTGGGAGAAAAGCCTATTTACTTCACAGGTAAGTCCTGCCACTTCCTCAGCCAGCTGCCCGGAGTCACTGGGAAAGGGATCTTAGCTTCTTCAAAATCCCCCACCACAGATTCTTAAAAAATAAAATAAAATAAATCCTGGATTAACTGAATTTGGAAAACAAATACAAGCTATCGATTTGCTCTTCTAAGCTTAAAGTGTTCCATCACAGGTTCTAAAGTTTGAAGCTCATTTGGTGCTACAATCTCTAGGTTAGGCAGCTGGACACCCGTTTCCCAAACTTCTCTCATGACGAGAATCACCTGGTGGAGTGGTTAAACTACAGATTCCTGAATCCCAACTAAGAAGTGCTAAACTAGAATTTTGGGGAACATATAGGTAAAATTGTGTACGTAACTAGTGCTCTAGGCAATGACTTTGGATCGTAGGCCAGGTAACATAGAGCAAGATGGCAAAGCAATCAACCCAACGTAACCATCTATCTTCTCCCAAGTTTCTCGAATGCTCTGGCCGGGCCTGACCACCCCCCCCTCCCCTCACTTCACTCAACCAATGTTTACTGAGGATGTATAATACTACATGAGAGACTGTGCAGATACAAACGTGAACCAAACGCGGCGGGAAACCCTAGTGCTCGCCCCTAAGGATCTCATTTCTCTCTCCTCCCTGACAACAAACCCAGTCCCTCCGGAGAGCGCACGTCTGAAAAGAAAGCCGGGAATTGTTCACAAAAGTATTCCCGCACCCCTTACAGCCGGCCACGGGTTCGACCCTCCGCCCCGCCCCGGGGGGGCGGTGGACACTCACCGGCGAGCGGGCCGCCACTCTGCACGGAGGGGGGCTGCAGGGCGTGCATGGTCTTCGCCAGGCCGGCCATCCTGACGGGGAGGCAAGGCTTGGCCCTGGAAGGTGGACGGTGACTGTGACCCCGTGGTATAGGCCAAGGGGACCCCCCCCGCCCCCCGCAAACACACAAACACACACACACACACATACACACACACACACACACCCTCCCCCCCTCCAAGCAGGCCAAGGGCCCGGGGAGAGCGCCACCCAGCCTTTCCGGCTGCGGGGAGGAGTAGGGAGAGACTCGTCCATGTCCACCTCACCCCGCCCGCCCTCATCAGCCCAGCTCCTGCCCCGGGAGAGCCGAACCCAGGTGCCTGCTGCTCCCGCGGGCACTCCTCGTCGCTCCGACTCAGAAGGTCCCCCGCGGAAACCGCCGAGCACCCGGCCGGGTCTGCCGCCGGGCTTTCAAATGGAAACTTCCGGTGCGCGGGTGGGCGGGGCTGCGGGGCGCGCCCTGGGGGCGGCCATGTTGTGCCGCCCGCACCGCCCTGGGCGGAGCCTCTGGGGGCCGCCATGTTGTACGGAATGGAACGTCGGGGCCGAGGCGCGAGCCCGCTTCCTCGCGGAAGGCCCTGGGCCCGGGCCGGGAGGGGAGTGGTGCACGCCGAGGACCTGAATGGAGCTCTGACACCCCCCCCCCCCCCCCCCCGGCGTCACTCTCTAGCTCGGGACGCAAACGCGGGCGAATTGAGAGTCCATGTCACAATCCTCCCCTTTGTTGGGTCTGCGAGGGTCAGGGATGTGGCGTGAGGCCTGATTGCCATTTCAGTGGGCGTCAAGCTGCAGGTTGCAGGGTGCGGAGCGGCAGGTTGGAAGAGGGCCTGTGGGCTGAAATACCTGAGGCGCCTACAGGCAATTCTAACCTGACCGTTTCACTCTACAAGTATGGATGGAGCACCTGCGGTGTGCCTGCCACCACTCTGAGTGGGCGGAGAGTGAGGGGCGCGGGCGGGGAGGTGCGAGGAGAGAGACAAACATTGAGACCTTGGTTCTGCGCTCCAGGAGCTTACAATCTAGTGAACAAATACTCATACGAACTTGTCCCTTATATCTCAATAAAGCTGGACAAATGTCAAATACATATGTATTTGCCAAATGTAGTAAAACTATGAAGGAAGAGTACAATGTTCTGCGAGAGACAAAAGCAGGGAAAGCAAGCTTAAATGCAAGGGATAGTGGGACGTAATCAGAGTCACGGGGCGGGGGGGGGGGGGGAGGGGGGGGAAGAGGGCAGAAAGGCAAAGTCCTGAGGCTGGGATGGGCTTTTCTCCTAGAAGGGACTGGAAAATTCAAGGAGAGTGCTACAGATAAAGTTGGAAGAATGGCAGCCTTTGTAGGCCAAAGGTAAAGAGATTAGATTTTATCTGAAGAGTAAAGGGAAGTCACTGAAGTACTCAGAGTCCCTGTGAGTGAAATTCCTGCACAGGTAGGGTCCTTAGGCCTGGCCAGTGATTGCACAACTGGTTGTTCTGCCATTCTGTCAATTTGCATATTAGGCGTTTATTATATAAAATAGGATTAAAGCAAGAGAGTATTCTTCAAGTTATATTTTATTTATTTTTAAAATATGCTTTTATTGGTTTTTAGATAGAGAGGAAAAGAGAGGGAGATAGGAACATCAATTGATCAATAGATTACCTCCTGCATGCCCCCTACTGGTGACCCAGTTCCAACTGGGGCATGTACCCTGACCAGGAATCAAACTGGTGACTCTTGGTACAAGGGACAATGCTTAATCTACTGAGCCACACCAGCTGGGTTCAAATTATATTTTAAAAAGCTCATTCTGGCTAGGCCAGTATGGCCCAATGGGTTGTGCATCAACCTGTGAACCAGGAGCTCACAGTTCCATGCCCGGGTTGTTGGCTCAGTACCCAGTAAAGGGTGTGCAGCCAATCAATGATTCTCTCTCGTGACTGATGTTTCTATCTCTCCCTTCCTCTCTGAAATCAATTTTAAAAAACATACCTTTTTAAAAATATATATTTTATTGATTTTTTACAGGAAGGAAGGGAGAGGGAGAGAGTCAGGAACATCAATGAGAGAGAAACATCTATCAGCCGCCTCCTGCACGCCTCCCACTGGGGATGTGCCCGCAACTAAGGTATGTGCCCCTGACTGGAATCTAACCTGGGACCCTTCAGACTGCAGGCTGACGCTCTATCCACTGAGCCAAACCGGTTTCGGCAACATATCTATTTTTAAAGCTCATTCTGGCTATCCCAGAGAGTGGATGGGAAGAGAACAAGAATAGAACTAGGAAGACAATTGGGAGGCTACTATAATCATTCAAGTGAGAAGTAATCATTCATGGTAGGTTGGCCATGAGGGTGGTGGTATTTGTGGAAAGGAAGAGATAATCAGATACATTTAAGACACTTTTGGAGATCGGATCTCAGAACTCAGTGCTAGACTAGAAGTGGGGCAGGTGTGGAAAATAAGGAGAGGGAGAAATCTTAAGGATGACTCCCTGGCTTGAATAATTAGGTGGATAGAATCACTGCTTTGTGTTGTGGGGAGATTGAGCACTTAGTTTTGAACGTGATGAACTTGAAATGCCTCTGAGACATTCACGTGTTTAAACTGTTAGGTGGCCAGTGGGAAATGCAGGCTTTGAGCATCTAGGTTGGAGATAAACTTTGGGGAGTTATGAGTATATGGGTGCATTTAAATCCACAATATTGGATAACATCACCAAGGGAAGAAGTGCACAGAGAGCCTCAGGGACAGCATTTAGAAGTTGTAATACGGAGGTGCCATTCAAGAACCATGATAAAGAGGTGCCAGAGAGGTGAGAGGAAGGGAAAAAAGGAAGGTGAGAGGAAGGTATCCTAGAAGCTAAGAAGGAAAAAATGGTAAACTGCTGAAGGAGTGAGTGGTAAACTGTTGAAAAAAAACACACGGAAGGGTAAGTGAGATGTGAAAGAAAGAAAAAAGGATTCTTTTAATTTGGCAACAAAGAAGTGATTGGTGAGTATAGGAAGAGAAAGCCTGGGGCAGAGGTTTGAGTGGCAGCCACGTGGGAGCAGGTTGAAGAGTGCATGAGAAAGGAGGAGGCGGGTATAGACTGAGAGCTTGTGAATGGAGGAGCAGTTGACAATAACTGGAGGTGGGTTGGGTGGTTGAAGGTGCAGATACTACCTGATACATGTGCCAGCTGAGAGGAAGAAAAGGATGTTTCACAAGGAAGGGGGATGATTAAAGGAGTGAAGTCATAGAGAAAGAGAGATGGAAGATGGATCTATAGCAGCATGTTAAAGTTCTTTTGTCCATATGCCTCCACAAAATAATAAGACAAAAAAAAATGTACCCTCTTACCTATTTTTAGTTGATGACTAAATGTTTTCATAATTTTATTTTATTTTATTTATTTTTAAAATATATTTTATTGATATTTTACAGAGAGGAAGAGAGAGGAATAGAGAGTTAGAAACATCGATGAGAGAAAATCATCGATCAACTGCCTCTTACACCCCCCCCCCCCCACTGGGGATGTGCCCGCAACCAAGGTACATGTCCTTGACCGGAATCGAACCCGGGACCTTTCAATCCGCAGACCGACGCTCTACCACTGAGCCAAACCGGTTTCGACCATTTTCATAATTTTAAATATTTATAAAGGACATATACTTTCTACTTATTATATATTATGCATCATATTTATTCATTTCTAAAATTATTTTTTCTTTTGGTATTTCATTTTGGATAATTTTCTATGTCTTCAAGTTCACTAATCTTTTTCTGCAGTGTCTAAAGGGTTTTTAATTCCATCCAGTGGTTTTCCATCTCTACAAGTTCAAATTGCATATTTAAAAAATACCTTCCAAGTTTCCACTTAGCTAAATGAATACATGGGCTACAGTTACAGTAACTTTTTATGTCCTTGTCAGGTAATTCTCATATAAGTATCAGTTCTGGATCGGTATCAATTCATTTCCCCCCTCACTATGTGTCCTATTTTTCTGCTCCTTTGCATGATTGGTAATTTTTTATTTGACCCCAGATATTGTGAATTTTATGTTTTTGGGTGCTGGTTATTTTTGTATTCCTGTAAATATTCTAAAGGGTTGTTCTGGGATAAAGTTACATTACTTAAAAAAAAAAAAAAACAGTTTGATCCTTTCAAGTCTTGCTTTTGAGATTTATTAGGTGGGAGCAATCAGAGTTCACACTAGGTCTAATGAGTCACCAATACTGAGCCAAGAACTTTTTTTTTTTGAGCAGTTATCTGATTTACAAAAAGATATAACAACATTTTAAATGACACAAAATATCATTTTCAAAACACCACCAAAAAGTGAGTGTATTTAACTGTTCTCGACTCATAACAGCAAATGTGTGAGTGGAGCAAAAACGCATGTTGTAGCATGTTGAATAAACCTGCAACAGAGAAAGTCGTTTGAGGGAAAGCAGAGAAATGTTGTCTTTTCAGTGTTGGAACCTCGGGGCTCCACACTCCTCTGGCATCCGCCCAGTGTTGTATCTGTGGTTAGAAACATGCATGATAGGATCTTCCTGATTCTTTGCTTAAGGACTTGGTCAACTGAGGCCACAATATAACACTTGTGCTGAGTCATCTCTGTACTAAGCAGTCATCTGCATAGGCTCCTTTGTGTGTGCATGCTAATCGTTCAAATTTTGGATCCTCGGCCATCCTTAGTGCCACTCGGGACTTCTGCCCCAATGTCTCAGTTTCAGCCATTACACAGTCAGTTATCCAGGGATAGAGACAGTCCGTCACTGACTGCACTGAGTCAGTTTGGCCTTAATGGAACAGTTGGTGAAGCTGGTTATCAGCCGGAGGTGGTAAGGTGGGCTGTATTGAAAGAATAAGCAGGAGGGCTGTTGGGGGACTTCCCTTTCTTTGAGTGTCCTGGGATCTTACTTTCTTTTCTTCTTCTCAGGGTTTAATCTGTCCTTTTCTTCAAGCCTCTGGTCTCGGAGACGCAGCACTCGCTTCGCGGTTGCATACTTCCTTGTTTTCTTTTCTTCCATATGTTCACGCTGCACTCTTGTTTCTTCCCCCGAGAACTTTTTGAAAACTCTAACCGGTGCTCCATGAATTATGAGGTTTTTCAGTCTAACAGGAATAGACTATGTCCTAGCCCTGTGCCGCTAGTGACTTCTGTTCCTTGTAATCATTTTGAGTGGTTCTTTCCTTGGTCTCCAGCAGTTTCCTCACGTTTATATGCTGAGCAGTGCTCTGCAGAATACTCAGGGAGGCCCTTGGCAGACCTCCAGAACTCACTCTTTCTCGCTGCACCTTTCTCCTATCCAGGATTCTGCCCTGAGCTCTCGAGCTACCTCGGTTGCCCCAAACCCTGAGCTACCTCCTTAGCTCAGGAAGTCTGCACAGCCCTGCCTGCAGCCTCCCTTCCTGCAACATGTCTGCAAACTCTCCAGCAGGGAGCTGAGCAACGAGGGGGCTCCCCCCCGCTTCATTTGTTTCTTGTCTGCCAGCAATCACTGTCCTTTCTTGTCTGAGATCCAGTGTCATGAAAAACAATGTTTCATT